AGACCTACTAAATTTTATAACACAGTGTGTGTATGTGTGTGTGTGCGTGTGTGAGATAGAGAGTGATTAGAGTGGAGAGAAAACGCGAGGGATAAGTCGGGATGTGAACAATTCTGTGCAAGATGTCAGCTACCCCATGTCGGTTTGTAAGTACTCTCACTTTTGCTCGGCCCTTTGGTGGCAATGAAACAAACTATCTATTCATTTTTCAAAAGAAAAGATCACTCAGACCCTCCTGTGCCCCTAGAGTCCCAAGAATCTGATGAGGACAATTCAGACGAGGAATCAGCATGAAAAACGGCAGAGCCCTTCTCTTTCTGACAGAAAATGGATTGCACAGTTTACATTGCAAAGAAAGGAATACCAGGTATTCTATGTACTTCTCTCGCTGCGGCCCAACATTTGCAGGGAAAACTAAGTCTGCCATCTTGAGTGCAAACTTTAAAAATTTAAATTCAGTCTATTTACTACCAAAGCATTCATAAGTCACACAGTTAAGATGGAAAAAATACGAATATGTCACGTTGCATGTCGATTTCAGTGGTGCTCCTAAATTTTCAGTCGGGAGCACCAGTGCTATACCAGAGGAAAGAGTTAGTCCGAAGCCCTGAAGCTGTTTCGGTGTGAGGCCAGATGTTACTAAACAAGAAATAAATTTGTGAGACGCTGCTGTGTGAAACAAAAGCCTATTTTTGGGATCAAAACCTGTCGGCACAGCACCAGTCTGCTTTCTATTGCCAGTTACAGCACAACGCCATCTGAGTCATAAATCAAGTTTAAGAAAATAAAAGTTGATGAAAAGCTCAAATCCTGCTGGCTTGTGTGCTCCATTTACTCCATTACACTTACACAACAGCAAGTATATGAAGAAATTACGAATAAAAAGACTTATTGAAGTAAAGATTACACATCACAGAGATCAATACATGTGGATCGTCTTCAGAAGATCATAAGATTCAGACAGGCTTACCTACTCAACACATTTCAACCAATCACATTTTCTTCAAGTGCTGCTTGTGGTCATGATCCTATTCCACTATATTGCTGTTGTGCTCTAGCCCATTCTTTCAGGTTTGTACTTTATATTTGTGAAGACATATTGCGCCTACCTTTTAACTATAGGGGCAGAATCCACATGAGACTGGGGGGAAAAAAGTGAGAGAAATATAGTGTGCTGCCTTGCCTGAAATACCAATACCTGTCTCAAATTTTAAAAAAATCCCCCTGGGGAAATGCCACACACACAGTAGGATGTGTGTGCATGAGTGTTGAGGTGTCATTTCCATAACAGCACAGTCTTCTCTAACCTCACTTCCTATCTGACTACTACCACTAAGCAGCAGTGGTTGGCTATCTTCTATGTCAGTGCCTAAGAGGCCAATGTCTCTTTGCTTCTATATCTTTACTGTATGCAGAGCAGTGAGTTGATAGTTGACAGCAGGGTTCACAAAGTGAACCTGAGGAGTCAAGGAGTGGTCACAAATAGATCCCCATCTGCAGCACTGAAACAGATGGTAGCATGATGGGCAAAGAAACCTGGAAGCTGTTCTCATCTGCTTAAGAGTGGCTTTGGGCTGATGCCTTTTAAAGAAGGACATTAAAAGCCTTCAAACCCCATTAAAAGGGCCACGGATTTTTAACAAGGACAAACACATCAGATCTGAGATGTTTTACATCTCCAAAGCAATTTTGAAACTTTTTTACTTGCTTTTTGCTATTCAAATTATACCTTTGAAGAAGCTGCTCTGCTCTGAGAAATGATTACAAGTATTTTTGGCCCTATAAAGATCACTATAAACACGACTGTCACTGAGTGACTGACTGACTGTCTGACTGATGAAGTTACACCATTGGTCAGCCAAATGCCATGTGACCGAGTGATAAAGCTACACCACTGGTCGGTCGGCTGTGTTGGAGTTGGAGTTTGGTTGTTGCTCTTTCAAACTGATTTGATTCAAACAAGCAATGCTGCCAACATTTCCTGACTTATTTTCAAAAAAGCAGCAGACGTAGTGATTTTTTTTCTTTTTTTTGGACAAACTTTTGTTACTTTCCATAGAGGGGAGTTGCCTGTATTTCCCTCCGCAGGCACAACCATATTTGCTGACCACATGGCAGCTGACGTGAATGACCTTCTAACTTTTTCTCTGAGAGAGCATTTTACATATGAATATATCTTTTATATCTCTTTTTATCTTATGCGTTTGGAGATTTTGTCAGACGACATCACTGTTATAAAATTGGGATTTTAGCAGAAGCTTGGCGATAGCTTGGAAGTGACAGGTGGTAATATGTAGTCTTAATGGGTCATGTTTCAGTCACTATTTCATATTTTGTCCATACATGTAAATGAGAGCAGCTTTATTAGAAATTCGGCTGAATTAAAATACTGCATGCGTGAGCAGAGAGACTAGGAGAGAAGAAAACAGATAGAGGGTTGAAACTGGCCGACACTAGGCAGCTCCTGAAAGAGTTATTTCAGGCTTTCCCTGGAAAGAAATCTCTGATGCATAGTAAATTATGTATTTAACATTGTTTGGAAGCAGCAAAAGAGTTGCTTTAGCATGAGTGTACACAGATGTAGTGAAAAGCGAACATGCTAACATTAAACAGCAATGGTTGGTTTGTTAGCATGCAAACTTTTGCTAATTAGCACAAAACATAAGTACAGTTGAGGTTGATGAGAATGTTATTAGCTTTGCAGGTGTTTCATTATAGATAGAAGTTAAAATTTTGATCTGATTGTGACACTAGAGGAAAAGTCAGGCGATCAGCAAAGTCACCTGGAGTCATCCGAACATTCGTACAAAATTTCAAGCAAATCCGTCCATTAGTTTCTACATACTTTATTCTAGACCAAAGTGACCGACCAGCAGACCAACAATGGTCTGTTTTTAGTCGTGCTAGCATGGCTAAAAAAACAAAGCAAGCTGCCTTCACGGCTCAGTTGACACTGCTGAATAAATCGCTGAGAAGTATGGAATGTGCATTAAAAAAAAAAAAAAAAAACTTTTTATTCTGGGCATTGCCATGGAAACAGGTGTTAGACCGAAGGCACAGTCTAACTGAAAACAATGCACTCCCGGGAATCCCAGGTCTCTTTGTTGAACTCCTTATCATCTGAATATGAGTTTACCCTCCCTGTTGTAAATCAAATATGCTCTCCATGAGGCAGCTCTTTCTCACCCGACTATGACTTTACATTTGACTTCTCTCGGTGATCAGCGCTGCATCTTCGGCCCTCTGACAGCTAGTGGTCTATTCTCAGGTGCCAAGCTACAGAAGTGAATAGGATGTGATACGTATTAGCACACGGCTGGTGTTACAGTGATACAAACATGCTGTCATGTCAGGATCACTGTGGATCAAATCCCTCCGTAGCGACCGGGATCGCCTGCGGGTGTGGCTTGCCTGCGACTCCCTGGCATAGTTAACATGCAATGTGATCTTGTCTGCATAATGAGTTCACAATAACAACAACAGCAGCTTCTCCCATGGTGACACCGTCATGTGAATTACCTGTCGTTTCAATTTTCTCTTGCTAAAACTGACAGAAAACTTTGAGAATATGCTGATATTTGGGCTTTTGGGTTGGATTACTAGTTCTCCTTCCACAACATTATTGTGCTGTTACAGTGATCTAATCTACACGTTAATATAATTCAGTTGTTCAATTGTTATTAATTATCCAAGAGCATGAGATCCAGATAAGATTAAAGATTAAAATGATTTCAGCCTGACCTATAGAGAGAAACTGGACTCAGCTCAACGAAAAATAATGTTCTGTCCAGACTTGATATGAAGGAGCTAAATCATGTCTGAAGTAAATAAGTGCTTAATTTCCTTTAAAATATGTTTTCTTTAGCGCTGCAGTACTCTCCTCCTCTGGCTCAGTGCCTAGGATGACTGATTTGGCTCTGCTCCTAACCAGCGGCAGTCCTGTGATCTTTCATTACAAGCTGCACCTCTACGGCAAACCCTGCTGCAACAGTCACAGCTCCAGAAATTTGACCAACATATGGACTGTTCCCAAAGCTGTCAGCTCCATTAAAAAAACTGGTAATGCCTTCAAGTCACCACGAAATGAAATATGAACACCTGGGTAGCTTGTTATGTTTGTACTAACATAGTGATTTGACAACAGATTGGTTAAAAAAAAAAAAAAAAAACATTTATCAAAATTCAGTTTCACTGGCAGCTTAGATAGAACAGGGATATGGAGGGAGACAGAGACAGATGATGGCAAGAGCAGATGTGTTTTTAAATGGTTTGGAGGAGATTTGAAATGACATTGCAAAAAATAAAATAAAAATAATAATGCTGAATTGATAAGGACTTAGGTGAGTTCCTGGAAAGTGAGACAGAAAGAGACAGTTCAGAGATAGAAACGGCAGCATTTCCTGCTGATTTATAGTATGAATAATAAGACGTGAGAAAGCCAGATTCATAAATTCAAAACGGGAATGTTTTTATAACAGTGCTTTAGTTGTATATTTCAGCAGTTGACGCAGTAACAGAATGCCTAAGAGGAAATTAGTAAAGATGACACTGAGAAAATGAATCGTGCGATGATAAGATGATCATTTTATGTTTAAGTTAATTCTGTTGTTATAATTATTTTGATATTGACTTATTATTCTGTGATCTCAACGTAAGCTTTCTAACTTACCAATTTATTACAATGATTTTAAAATAATAGTCTTTGCAAATAAATAGCCATGTAAATAGCCTATACACAATATAAACCAGTCACAGTTACAGGAAGGACTTAAATTTGTTCAACCTGAAATTTAACTAATAGATAAGCTAACCCTAACCCATCTAATCTTGTGTTCTACCTACATTTTTTTAATTAGTTATTTGTCTAATTTGCCTTAATTGCTATGGTGAAAATGAAAACTGTAAAAAAAAAAAAAAAAAAATTGTTGTTTGGGGTTTTAAATTTTTTAGGCAACTAAATTGCATAAAGAAAACAAATAAACAAGAAGTCACATGCTCACCCTGGCGAAGTGCTCCGGGTCTCTCAGAAAGACGGTCCTCTCCTTAGCGATGCTGTTGCTATGGTAGAACTCCACCAGCTCGTTGAGAGAGGAGAAGAGCTCATCCCACACGTAATACTGACCACAGCGATCCTGCAGCACCTTGAAATGCTGAACATGGTCCCCATAACTGCAAAACAAATAAACAGACAGATAGAGAGAACTTTACAACAGTTTCTCATCTGAAAAAGGGCATTTATGAAGCTATCACCTCCCTCATTTAGCTTCAGTGGGTTCATGGAGTCAACACCAAAATGTTTCTCTCTGAGTTCAATGTTGCTGTAGTCAGATTAAGAAAAAAATGAAGTGATATTTCTTGAGCGTGTTGTTGTCACATCGCAGTCTATAGCAACAGTGAAGATTAAAGATGGTCATCATCATCCGATCTTCTCAGACTACAGTGCATCTTCACATCACAAGTTACATTTTGCATACAATAAATGTGGAACGGCTTTGGGTTGATAACAACACTCTTGGCCTTTGGTCCTCTCATCCGCCCCTTTCACTCCACAGCTGTCAGCTGTCAGAGCTGGCATGAATTCAGAGCAGTCCTGTTCATTTTTCTCCTCAAAAAACACTGGAGTCACTTTTATTTCCTATTTAATTTTGTCTTCATTGATGTTTATCTATTTCAACCAGGTTAGTACTGAGTGTTCACTAAAACGGACAAAGCAATACAAAAATAGACCAGGAGGCTGACACAGCCACAACATTTATAAAGAGAAACCCACACTGAAAAACTGCGGAAAATCTATGCAAAATGTAAATAAATATAATAAGTAGAAAATAGAGACAATTATCAGTGGAGCCTTTTTTTAGTATGTGTGAGTCATATTTTGGAATTAAAAGAGCAGACTATGGCATTTACATGGGCCGCTCTGTGGGTCTGGGGGAGTCTGTGCAAAGCAGATGATGTCAAACAAACGTATGTAACACCCATTTAGATGTGTATTCCTTTACGAGAAAAAAAAAATTAGCACAATAAAAAAAAAATAAAATTAAAAAAAATTGTACCAGTAGTTTTGATGAATGCAAGGTTGGCAGGGGAAAAAAATAATTTAGTGTAGCCAAAAAACAATGAAATGAAGCCAATGGCACAAACAAAAATAGACACAGTTTTGGAGTGCAGGCCTTGTTGCTGTGATTAAAAGAGTTTGGCCAGTGTTCATTGGCAATCATACCTGCTCCCCTATCCTGCTCTGTGGTGGTTGCTAAGTAACTTGCCAGCTTATCTTTAGAAATCTGGACATCTCACCATGATCGTACTGTTATATAACTGCACCTAATATGCAGCGGAAGTCAATACAACTCCCCCATATTTCTAAACACATCAGAGAGTAGGTGTGTGTGTCAGCCTTATGTTAATGATGATAAAAGCTCATTTCCCCTGTTCGTAAAAAAGATGATAATGCAGTGGGGAAAACAGTGCTAACATCCTCATTTTCGTGTTTTTTATTGTAACATCATTGATGTCTATTAAGATACAGCAGAGTCTTCCTGTAAGTGATTTGTCTTTTCTCTAAAACGAGTACAATTCGGCATTCATGGTTTAACCTCACCAAACTCCTCCTCAATCTAGTCTGATGGGCACTGTTCCAAGCTCAGAGAAAGTAAATGAGCTTGGGCTTGTTTCACCCAGAATTTCTTTCTCTATTCAGCCGCCGAGCTTTGTGAACAAGCAGGACTGACTCCCTGATGACTGGATGGCATTCAGCTACACCTCCACCCTGCCCTTCTTTCTCTGCTTTCTCTGTTTCACCCTGCATGTCCTCATTTCTCTCCTCTCACCCTCAGTCCATGTCCCAAAAAAATGATGAAGCTGTGGTGTGGAAAAAGGCGGTGTAATTCAAGCCAATTTGGGACGTTTTTTGACTGATTTTTGGATTGACACTGTTCCAGCCTCTGTAGTCTTTGAGCATTAAGTCATTCTGTGTGAGCAGCAGTGTTATCTGTCAGTCTTTTTTTTTTTTTTGCTTTTGCTTTTGCCTCAGGGTCTGTATTCCTGTCTGTGTTCTCACTCTTCTCCATTATCTGACTTCTATCTAACTTTTCCCTCCCTGTTGCAATTATGTGCTCCACTGTGCCTCCGCTGCCTTTCTCGATTCAGCCTTACCCTTCCATTGACTCACACACACATAACACAAAGTCGTGATGTTCTCTGAATGATTTCCATTAGCCCCACCAGTGTCCCTAGTTGTCCGGCACCCTCTGCTGCACCCTAATGGTGGGGCCTTTTTTAGTATGTGTGAGTCATATTTTGGAATTAAAAGAGCAGACTATGGCATTTACATGGGCCGCTCTGTGGGTCTGGGGGAGTCTGTGCAAAGCAGATGATGTCAAACAAACGTATGTAACACCCATTTAGATGTGTATTACTTAATGATATAAATAAGTTTTATATCTAATCGCTAATTTATATCTTAGAGTTTAGTAC